TATGTGATCAAGTCAGAATCAACCCATAGATAGCTGAGCCTCTGGTAGGTTTTCAGAGGCAATTAGTCAAGCAGGAGGAGATAGATGGGCCATCTTTCTCCTGGAGAGCAGCTGATGGATTGGAACTGTGTGCCTTTAGGGTTGCGGCACAGCTTCTTACCACTAGGCCCAGAGCTCCCTCTTATGTATCTGTTGCTGTTGTGCATCATCAAGTCAGAACTGACCGCGGATGACATTCTTGCAAGTTTAACTGCCTAGAGGCAGTTAATCATATGGGAGAAGATTGTCCATCTTTCTTCAGAGCCCCTGGTGGGCTTGAAGTAGGTGCTTTCAGGATTGCAGTGCAGCTTCTTGCCACTAACCCAACAGATCTCCCTAAGTATCCAGTGCTCCAGAATTCATAGGATTTGTATAGAGAATGGGGCTAATGAAAAGCTCTGTGTAGATAAGCACAGGGAAAATCATTGTATTAACACTAAGGCTGTTTAACTGAGAAACCCCAAGTATTCCTATCAGAAAGCTCTTGTTTGTTTGTTTCCTATTTCCTTGATAAAATCCCCTACCAAAGAGAGCAGGGCCTGGGTACGTTGAATTCAGCAGCCATGTGAGTTCAGCGGGATAGAGGTGTCCACTCTGTAAATGTTCAGTCAGGTTCATGTTGTTTTGTTGATGTCAAGTCAACTACAACCTATAGCTCCCCTAAACAGCAAATCTGAACCTTCTCTGTCACCATCTTAGCAGCTAAGGAGCACCCTGCTTGTTCCTCTGAGACAGGCTTCCTTTTTTTTTCTGTTCCTGGGGTATTAAGTACTCTGAGATTTTAGTAAGTTTGTAACTTTCCTTCATTGTGATTGGTTCCCAAAATCCACTAACAGCAGTTTAGTGAAAGTGAAAATAAGAAAAGTACTGCAGGGATACTGTTAAATTGACTCTTCTAGTCTTATCTGCTAGCCTGTAGAGAATGGGAACGGCTATATGAAGAGCTAATACTTTAAAAATGCATTTGCTCACTTCTCCTGTTTTTAATTATCCTCTTGACTCTTACTTGTAGGAGTACCCTCCCAGAGCTTTTAGAGACTTTAATGGTATCATTGTTTTGCTTCACTGGCTTCTTTTTCTCTTTACCTTAGGAATGAATTTTCTTGGCTTTGATAACTCTGTTAGAGCTTGTCCTGCTTTCCAGGTTTTTATTGCTAGTGGTGTCTTCTCTGATGATCTCTGTAGTTATATAAGGTATTTTTTTCCCCTTGCTCTTCCCCCTCTAATTGTAGTAGGCTTTCAGGAAGAAATTGAAAACACATTTTCAATTCTGTAATCTACCAGTTTTACACACACAAATATATCTTAAACCTTTTTCTTGCCAATAAATATACATTAATAGTAACAGTTCTGATAACCACATAGAAATTCTGTTTTGGGATACAGTAGGACCCTGTTTTTCATAAAGAGTGCAAACTAACTCACATGAACTATTTTTTACCTTGAGTTGATTTTTCACTTAAGGACAAATATTTCATTATATAGACATTATATATACCTTTGAGATGAATTATATATTTAGAGTAAATGGTATTTGCTTTATCTAATATAATGTTGCTCAAAGTGGAATCTACACATCATCTGACTCACATGGGACTTTGTTGAATGTGTATTTTTCTTACATGTTGTTCACTTGAGACCTACAGAATCAAGATCACTGTGGATATAGCCTGAAATTCTGTATGTAATGAACTCATCTACCTCATGTGAATAATACAGTTGATATTTCTGTCCTAGAGTAAGTTTACAAGACATTTTTTTAGAAATTTAGGTGCCAAAGAACAAAAACGTCTGTCTTGAGGAAAGTGTAATCAAAGGTGCTCCTTAGTGGCAATGATGGTGGAACGTCATCTCATATTCTTTGGGGATGTTGTCAGGAGGGACAAGTGCTTGGAAAAAGACCTTGTGCTGGGAAGGGTGGAGGGTCTGAAAAAAGAGAGAAAGACTTTCAACAAAATTAATTGAAATAATGATTGTAACAGTGGGCTCAAGCATATCATACTACAAGATAGGGCAGAGTTGTTCATACAGTTGATATTTGGCTCAAGGGCACTTAGCAATCCAATCAAAACTTTCTGATTAAGTATTTCTAGAAATTTATTTTAAAAAATACAAAATACTCAATTAGTTCATAAAAATGCTAGAAAGACAATCCAAGGACCAAACCAAGTTGGAGCCTATATTTTGTTCTAGCTAAATTAAATTCGAGTCTTTACCACTGAATTGGTTCCAAGTCATAATGACCCTTTCTTTGGTGTTTTGGAGAGGGTGCAACCACAATAATCTTTGGAGGCAAGAATGATGAGGCTTTGCCTAACATACTTTGGGCGTATTGCCAGGAGGTGCTATTTCTTGGAGAATGACATAATGTTGGGAAGGGTGGAGGGTTGGCAAAGGAGAGGAAGACCCTCAACTAGGTGGATTGACAAGGTGACTGCTGCAATGGGCTCTTGTGTGACAGGAAGTGTAAGAATAATGCAGGACAAGACTAGTTTCAGATATTTTGTTCATAGGGACACTATGAGTCGTACTCAACTCAATGGCACCTAACAGCAACAACATTTGGTGTCAGAGGCTGTAAATCACAATGAAACAAGACTGCTCATCTTCCTTCCAAGGAGCTGCTGTTAGATTCAAATCACTGAAGACTCATTTGTTATTATGCAACTCATAGCGACCCTATGTACAACAGCTCTGAACCCTACCCTATCCTGAGCCAATCTCATCGCCTCTGAAAGCTCTAATCCCATTTCTCCAGTCACTGAGTCACTCCATCCCATCCTGGTTCTTCGTCTCCCATACTGTTCCCTCCCCTCTTCCAAGAATGATGACTCTTTCCAAAGACTGTTCCCTCTTGGCCACATGCCCAAAGTATAAGAGACAGAACTTCAAAATCCTTGCCTCCTGGGAGCAGCTTAGTTTCACCCTCTCCAAGACTGACCTGTTTGTTCTCCTAGCAGTCCACTGTATATTCAACACTCTTCTCCAGCATCACAACTTAAAGGCATCATTTCTTCATAGTCCTTGCTTAATTCACTGTGCATTAATTATTTAAAATATTAGTGTCTCAGTTTTCTCATCTGAAATAATAAGGATAATACATTTTACCCACAGAGTTGTTATGGGTAAAATGTACTTGGAGCCAAAATAACCTATGTAATAGTGTATTATTAAGCTTTATGTTTTCAATTAAATATATCTTTAGATATGAGGCTTGAAGAGATTGGGCTATGATTAAGGAAAAAGATGTCATAGTCTTATGCAACAAGATCTTTGTTGGGGTCAACTCGTGCAGGGGCAGTCTCATTTGTATAAGGTAGATATTCTAGAGGCTCAGAGGTCAGGTAGACCCTGGTGGTGGTGGTGGGGAGAACATAACAATGCCAGTGTAAAGGAGAAGAAAAGTAGGAGTAGAGAGGGAGCTTACGTAGGTCTTCACAATGTCCTCACCAAGGAAGATGGAGACTGTCTGTGTCAGCTCCAAAGGCAGTGTTTCCTTATTTTTATTAGATGCAGTCAGTAAGTTTGAGACTATAGCTACCTTCAGTACAACAGAACAAAGCATTGCCAGAGCCTCTCCCATCTCATAATCATTGCTGTTTAGCCACTTTGTCATTTAATCTTGTGGATGACCTTTCTGACCCTTTGTTTTACCAATTAATACTTTACAGTGCTAATGATTCGAAATTTATTATCCAGTCAAAACTACTCATACCTGACCCTCCATGGTGCTTCCACAGCCGTCAGTCTCATAGGAGGATCCTTAGTGCATTCGAACTGCCAAAGAAGTGTGCACTTTAAATTAGCAACTCCCTGTGAACTTGGCCACCAGATTCCCCTTATTATAACTAACAGGCTTTAGCTAATTTAAGGCGATTAGCTTTTGGATACAGTTTCATGGAGTGTGTAGTCAAGGTTTAAGTAGCTGAAAACCTGCTTATTTGGGCTGTTTTTCAAAACAGTTGGCTGTATATAAAGCTGGATTTGGGTACGCACAGACTTTTAAAATAAATTATTCTAGTTTGTTTACAAAATTTAAATACATTGCTTTCCAGAATAGACTCTTCCAATTTCTCTCACCCTCTCAACCATCAAATTGTACAATTCCATGATTAATACATCCTCCCCTTTTTTTGTGCTAATGGGCCTCTACTTTCTATGACGAAGGAAGCCACTCAGGGAAATTTTTTACTCATTTATATAAAAAGCTATTATGATTTATTGTCAAAAAAGTACACATGGGCGGTCCTGTGGCCTAGACCATAGGGACCAGCACTCCTAACCCAAAGTGGGAGTCTCTGTGGTGGTGTGAATTTACCAGTAGCTTTTCAGAAGAAAGACAGGCAGTCTCCTCTTGTATGATCTACAGCCTTGAAAAGTCACCTGTAAGTTGGTTCTTACTCCATGCTAATAAGTCTGAATTTAAAAAGGATACTGAGAATTTATGTCTTTTATTTCATCTGACAAAGATTTATTGACCATATATTATGTAACTTGCTTTGTGTTTGAGTTTTTGAAATTTTTTAAAATAAAATTTTTCTTTTATACTGGTTTACTTACAAAGTTCATATGCTATTGTTTTTCGCATCAGATCTTTCCCCTTTCCTTTAACTTATGTGTTCTTTATGAGACATAGAGAAGGCAGCCCTGAATGAGATGGACTGACAGTGTCTGTGGCATGGGGTCAGGTGTGTAAGAAACAGTGAGCTTGGCGCAGCATAGAGCAAGGTTCAGAGCCTTTATAGGGTCACTATGAGTCATAGTTGATTAGGTAGCAAAGAACACATATATATAATATATAATGCAAAAATATATCTTTTTAAATATCAAAAGCATATAAGTGCCTATCTTCTGTTTCCATCTTTAAATGTCATCAATATTTTATTTAATCTCATATTCTTCTTTGAGTACAATTAAGCTATGCCACAGAAGCTTAAACTCTCCCTTTTTTTCCTTTTCAGCAAACTGCCTTGGTAACATGCTTTTGCGAAGTTCAGGAAAATTAAATGTGGGCACCAGGAAAGAGGATGGTGAGAGTACAGCTCCCACCCCTCGTCCAAAGATCTTGCGTTGTAAGTGCCATCATCACTGCCCAGAAGACTCAGTCAACAATATTTGCAGGTTGGTGACATATATATTATCTTCAGTGAGCGTTCACAGAAAAATCCCATGGCATTGGCTAATGTGGGCTACCTTTTCCACGCATATGTTTTGTTGAGAAGTACCTGTACTAATATTATACAAAGGTTTAACTGGTTTTAGCTAGTAATAATGTCCCAGGATCCTTCCTCCTTTCTCCAACAACAAAGCTCAGTTTATCTGCTACTTGTCAGGAATCAAAAGTCAATTATATTTTCAGAAGACTTGGTCCTAAAAATCATTTCTAAAGCAGAAAGTGACATGTGTGTGTATCTTTTTGTTTGTTGGTTTGGTTCAACCATTAATGCTGGTGGGGTTATTATTTTGAGAAATGTGTCTAAGATATTAAAACCGGATAGAGCAGGGTTTAGAGCTGTTGTACATAGAGTTGCAGGCAACTTAATGGCACATAACAACAACAACATATCTAAGATAGTAGGATTCTTTTAAATGGACATTGTCAGGTACTGGAGAATAAAGCCTTCAGTTAGTAATTGTGTTTGTATAGATGCCTTCTAATAGTTGAAAATATTTGCCTGCTTTCCTTCTGCTTGTTATTATTGTAAGGTGTAGTCCAGACAGTATTCGCTCATAGCAACAAAATCTATGACAAAACTGCCTGGTCCTAAGGGACCCTCCCAGGGGTGGCTGTGTCGAGCCCTTCATTGTAGCCAGTGTATTCTAGCCATCTCATAGAGGGTCATGTTCTTTTCATTGACTCCTTCCTGATGACAGGTCCCTCCTGCTGACATGTCCAAAGCTCCCTACTAGATCTTCTTTCTTAGTGGTAAACAGAACCTCTTCGCTCGATTCCATGTTTAACTCTTAAAAGAGATTAACTTAAAATAAGTCTTAAATATTAAAAGAAATGTCTTAAAAGAGATTGCTTCAAGTAACAACCAAATTCTGTAGATTGTATTCTGCTTTACTAATGTAACTGCTGCTAGTCCTATTTCATTAACATCAGTAACACCTTTCTCTTGTGATTTGAGTTAAAGTTTATAGAGGATATTCCACCATTCATACAACTTTTTGTTCAGGGACATTTTAATACCCACAATGTGTCCACATTTCCCCCACTCCTTTCCTGTTATTCTTGTTTTCCTTAAGCCTTTTGTTTTATCCCTCCCTGCCTCCTGAGCTTTATTCTGGGGTAAGTGCTGTCGTTTTGCACTTGTATGGCAGATTAAAGAATGAATTTTTACCTGGTGTTTTTGTCCTTCTTGACCTTATATAAAGCTAGTGTTTGACTGAAAATTGTGAACCTTTTCCCACCAGAAATGAGGATCTTTTCTCTCAGGCTAATGGGTGTCTAAGGAGGGTCTTAGTCTCTGCGGTTCACAGGTGTCTATCAGAACAGTAAGTCTGGCCATTCAAATAGAGCCTCCTTGAAGGAATTGCAGGAAGAGTAATCCTTAGAAATAAGGATAGTATGGCTCCATCTCGTTAACTCTTGGCATGCAGATTCTTAATGAGATAAATTTTTCCAGTGCCTACAAGACTGAGCTGAGGCCACAGCACTGATTGTGAGGCTGATGCAGGACCTGACAATGTTTTAAATTGACAATACTTAAATATAACAAATGGCTACTATTCGTATATCATATATATGGAAATTTTTTTATCCCTTTTTTATCTAGTTTCAACAAAAAGGATGTAATTTTTAAAATTTATTTTATTTGTTACTATTAAGAATATATATATGTGTGTGTATATATATCTGTATCTCAGAACATTTTCTATAATTTTTACATGTACAATTTAGTGACACTAATTGCTTCAAGTTCAGTTTTCATAACCATGCTTTTCCAAATTATTCTTTCTCATTAACATATAGTCCCTGCCTCCAAAATTCTCATTCTAATCTCCTGTTGTCAACTTGATCATGTAGAAAGAATTCTTAGAAGAACAGAATATTAAAATCTACTTTTTTGTATAAGATATGTTTTTAGAGTTATTTAAGAAATAATTATGTAAACCGTCAATTTAAATTAAATAATTATGCAAACCCCAATTATTGCCTTATGGCCATTTCAACTGATAATGACTCACCATTTGGTTTCTGAAACAGTATATTATTTTCAGGAAGTGACTTAGAGCTTAGGAATTTGCACTACCTACTTTCTTAGTAGCTGTAGATAGCATCTAAACACATTGCCACAACCCTACTAGGGAGATATACATTTATACACATACACACATATATATTAAAACATTATTAAAATTAAAGCCTATGTTAAAAGCATTACAAATCACAAGATTGCTTTACCTTTATTGAGTCAATGTCGAATTATGTACCAAATGCTGGGAAAATGCACCAACAACATAAAGGAGACATATAAGCACATAGATGCTTGTGTATCTCTACCAAATAATTTAATTGGTGCAAAACAGTGAAGTAAACTACTACCCACAAACTAAAAAAGTGGTTGTCAAATTAATAAGCTGTTGAAAGTCACTTATCTCTTAAAAGGATCTTCTCATTACTATAAAAGTGTTATGTCAATGCCCACCTTATAATTTCTTCAAGATGTGAAAAAGGTGAAACTCTGTAGGTTAAGTATTAGTTGCTCATTCCAAGACCTAAATCAAAATACCTTACATGATTGTTGTTGTTAGTGAATGGTTTTGTATCAAAGCCAAGAACCACGTGAAGGTATAAACATTTCTCAAAAGTTTATTGTGCACTGGGCGTAGAAACAGGGTTTGGTTTTGGGAGAGCTTATGTAGGGCTTTAACACGTGTATTATTTTTTTATTGATTAGTATGGTTAGGGAGGTTGTGAGATGAGTTGGTGTTGCAGTAGCTCATTGGTGCATTAAGTTTCTGGGATTTTCTGGTTTGGGGAAAAGTCCTGACATGAGACTTTTGGTTTTGAGAAAAGTTCTGACGTGAGACTTTTGGTTGTGAGAAAAGTCCTGACATGAGACTTTTTGGGTTTGGGGAAAAGTCCTGACATGGGACATTCTGAGTTGAGCTTCAACCTCCATTTTTTATTTTTAGTTTAACAGGTGCCATTGAACCAGCTATGACTCATAGTGACCCTATGAACAACAAATCTGAAACCTTCCATATCCAGTGCCATCCTCCCCATCTCTGATACATTTGAGCCCACTGTTAGAGTCACTATCAATCCATCTTGATGATGGTCTTCCACATTGACACTGATTCTTTACCCTTCTAAGAAAAATGTATTTTCTTAAATACTGGCTTCTCATAACAACATTCTCAAAGTGTGTTTTATGAAGTTTTATTACCCTTGCCTATAAGGGATACCCTGGTGGCACTTTGCTCAAAATATATTTGGAATCTTGTAGACTTTAGGTAGTCCATAGGATATTCAGTATTCTTCTCCAACAACACAACTTAAACGTATTGATTCTTCTTCTTCTGTCATCTTTATTCACTGTCAAACTTTCAGATGTATGACATTTAATTGAAAAGACTATGGTTTGAATCATGTCCATCTTAGTCTTTTAATTGACTACATTGCTCTTTAGCATTTTGGAGAGGTCCCCCTAATGAAACACATCTTTTGCTTTCTGGACTGGAGGTACCAATTGTGTTGATTATGGAAAGTTACATAGGGACCACAATACACTTAGCAAACTGATATTACACTAAAGTTTATAACAAGAATTTCAAAAGAACTTCCTCCTCAGGCCTCACTACTAAGTACAGAGGGGGCTGGGTTCCACTTAGATCATTGTTCACAAAGCTTTGAATCATGACAATTTTGGTAGAAAGAAATAAGAAACAATTAAGCCTCAACTGTGACAACTTGTATGTTGTTATTGTTTATTGCCACTGAGTTGGAACTGACTCACATCTGGCCCTCTAATGGGCTTTTGAGAGGCTGTAAATAGCACAAGAGGAGATTGCTCATCTTTCTCCTTTGGAGTAGCTAATGGATTTGAATTGTTTGCCTTGGGGGTGGAAATGAATCTCCTTACCCACTAGAAAGCCAAAGCTCCCTGACAACTTATATAGTAAGGTTCAAATGCAGAGGCATCAAACGTAATACTCCCCTTTATAACAGTTACCTAAATTGTCCACATGAGTGCATAACTTTATTACTTGATTATGTTAAAAATGTTAGCAAGTATGAACACGAAGTCGCACCTGTTGCTTTTGTGAAACCAGTGAGGTCTTCAGGAGATGTAGTTGATTAACACTTATACTTTGTTCTCATTACTTTGTTTTGTGGATGGATTACAACATTCTTTCAGAATCAATTAAAGTTTTGCAGAAACACTGCCACATATTTTTCACTTGCCGAGCAACTGGTGGATTTGAACTACTAACTTTTCCGTTAGTAGACATGCACTTCACCACTGTACTATCAGAACTCCTACACCAGACATTTGTTTATGTAATTGTTCATTTAAAAGAGTTCAGAAAGTAAGTGGTGAGAATGGACTGATTATTATTATTACTATTATTATTATTATCATTAATTTTAGTGAAAGTTTACAGAGACTTTGGATTTCCGTTCATTCATTGCTGCACTTTTCTCCCTGCCCAACCTCTCCCCAGTTTGTTCTTTTCATTGAAAAATTCTTTCAATGTTATACAATCCCTCCCCACAAGTCCACTGCACTATGCAGCCTTTATTCTGGACTCCTGTCATGACAATAATCCTAATCATATATCCCTTTTTAACAGTTCTCTCTCTCTCTTCTGCTCTCATCTGTTTCAATGCAGTATACATAATTTATCCCATCTATCTTAGTCTCCCCCCAACTGCAATGTCAGTCCTATTTTACAACAGTGGCACTCTACAGTATTTGTCCTTTTTGACTGAGATATTTCACTTAGCATAATGTCCTCCACGGTCACCCATTTTGTATAATATTTCATGAGTTCCTTGTTTTTCAATGCAGGATAGTATTCCATTGTGTAACTATACCACATCTTCTCTATCATTCATTTGTTAATAAACACTTAGATTGTTTCCAACTCTTTGCTATTATGAACAAAGCTGCAATAAGCATGGGTGTGCATATGTCTGCTTGGGTGGTGGTTATGAAGAGTGGCCTGTTAACAAAGAAAGGGGTGATGTCAGGGTTGGGATCAGAGCAAACCCACAGGAGAGAGTAAAACATAAGTAGCATTTGACACCTGTACATAGCAGTCTATGTCTGTGATGGTTCCAGTACACTTGCACACCTAATGAGTGAAGCAAAGTAACTATCAGAATTCTTAATTGGGGTTTCAATGCATTTATATAGTTGAGACATTTAGGAAAGAGATTTGAGAAGGATTTGAGAAGCACAGGGCAAATAGTGCATCATCTGGATGTTGTGTTTCAGCCTCCTATTTCAGATTTGTCAATTATGCACACACATTTCCATACTTGTGGTGTGTTTCCAAATGCACTAGGACTCTAGTTGTTACTGCCTGTAGAAGCTATAGTTACAAATAGGCAGAGAGTACTGGTTAGGATCAAGTAGGGCACCCCTGACTTCATTACCATAAGAATTTTGAAGGCAGGTACCACAGAACTGGCCTTGAATGCCCTGATATTGCATTGCTGTAGTTGTTTCCTGATGGCAGTGATGGCAGGCAGATCTCAATGAATGGTTAGATATCTTTCCCCAGGAGTTGTTGATGACATGAGGAAGTGTATGATCTCTGAGCACTGATTTCTTGGCACGTCATCGTTGTTCATGTAGATCCCATGCCTTCCTTGTTTTAATACCAACAAATATTTCCCCTCTTCTCTGTGAGCAGAGCATTAGGGAACCCTTATCTGTGGCACTGGCTTGGTAAGAAGACAAATTCTCTATTCAGGCTCCCTCCTAGACAGAAAACATGGTCCCATGTGTCTTTGGGGTGTGCATTTGGCACATAGGGAAATGGCTCATGAAGGACAGTGTTGCAGAGATGAGCCACATGCAGCTCTGTCCCCGCACAGCAGATGTCCCAAAGAGAGAGCGAACATTGAGCTCCCATGAGCTTATCCAGGTCTCCGATAGGATGGGGCTCGGATCCCACTCTTATCCTACACTGTTAATGCTAGAAATACTTCATCACAAAGTGAAGTTAATCAATGGCTAGGAAAGACATTTTGAACAATAAACAATTGACATCACAGGGTGTCTTTGATTAAGAATTGGCAGGGCATTCTTCTAGGGAGAGTCAGGAAACATACTCAGTTCATTATTAATTTTGCAACCATTGCTTTGCTCTGCTTCATATTTAAGTCTCTTTCTCCTGCAAACCCATGACTTTTGTGTTTTTAAATTCAAACTGACCTGAGTCACAGAATTCTCTGAGAGCCTTTTACTTGACTTCTGCCTGGTACTTTGCACTATGGTGTGGGTTATTGCCACGCCGAGTGGACTGGAGCTTCTGATGGTGACCCTTGCTGCTGTCCTGCAGTCTCAGGTTTACAGAATTATCAGAAGCAAAGCTGTTATAGCTATCATTAGAGGGTGAGGTTTCCACTGACATCAGAATCTTAGGCCTGAATTTCGTTAGTGTGAGACCTTCTTTTGTTACTTGTCCATAGTGGTGGCAGGCACCTAGATCAGAGGATCCCCCCAGAATGGGGAGATCCTGGAAGACAAAGTAGAAATATGTATCTTTTTGACAACTCAGTTCATTTTCTTAAATGTTTTTCCAGTCCTCTCCATTCCAGCCTGCAATGATAGTAAATTCTCCTCAGTTTGTAGTGTAACAAATGATAAAAATTCATTTCCCTTAGAGACTGACACACACACACACACACACACACACACACACACGCTGACTTTGCTGTTTGATCTTTAGTACAGACGGATACTGTTTCACTATGATAGAAGAAGATGATTCTGGGATGCCTGTGGTCACTTCTGGATGTCTGGGACTAGAAGGCTCAGATTTTCAGTGTCGGGTAAGAGAGAGATCTTGATTATTCCATTTTTTAAACTCCATTAGGTTTATTTTAAACAGTCAAGTTAGAAGCAGAAGATCGTAGTAGTTTCTCTCCCACAGTCTTTAAAATAACTTGGAAAATAACATGAAAATGTTCATGGACACGATTTGACTTGATTTTAAAATCAAACTTGCAGTCTCATTTATTCTTAACTTCTTGCTCGATGACCTTCTAGCTCACTTTTTAAATTTGTTAATTGCATTAAGCCCTGTAGTAATTTTGTTCAAATGCAAAAGTTTCAGTAAGGGAACATAGGATAATTTGAAAGAAGCTAATAGAAAATGTTTTTAAGATGTATGAGCAAAAGTACCAGAATTTTAAGTGAGTTCTTCAAATAGTGCTAATTTTAAACTTAGATTATGTGACATTGAAATGTATGTAGCTAAGAGCTGTTTCATTTCCACTGTAGGACACTCCCATTACTCATCAGAGAAGATCAATTGAATGCTGCACAGAACGAAATGAATGTAATAAAGATCTGCACCCTACACTCCCTCCATTGAAAAACAGAGGTAAGGTGAGGAGGGCCTGCTAGCCAGAATAGCTTCAGTCATAAAGAAAATGAAAACTGGTCTGATTCTTTCTAATTCAAATCAATCTGTCTGTACCATTTTCCACTGCTGAGAGAGAGGTCTGAGGCAAAGTGACATAGAAGAACTGTTGTTAGAAACAATTGAGAAAGTAGTCGTTTATGGTTTCAATCTTATCATTCTTAATATTTTTAACTTCTCCCCACTTCTCTTTAGAAAACCACAATTCTTTGTTGTTGTTGTTGTTGTTATGTGCCGTCGAGTTGTTTGCGACTCATAGCGACCCTATGTACAACAGCCCTAAATCGTGCTCTATTGCCTCTGACACACCCATCCTGATTACTCCAGTCACTGAATCAATCCACCTCATAGAGGGTCTTCCCCTCCTGCACTGTCCCTCTACTCTACCCAGCATGATGTCCCTCTCTAAAGACCTGTCTCTCCTTACAACATGTCCAAAGTATGTCAGACGAAGCCCCAGAATCCTTGCCTCCAAGGAGCAGCCTGGTTTAACCCTCTCTGACTTTTAGTTTATAGCAGACCTGGACAGCATCAATCTAATTTTGCAAGCTTACCCCTGTTATTAGAAGTTGTACTTCACTAAAAAATGACAAGCGAATAAAATTTTTAAAAGAATAAAAAAAAATTTGCAAAGGATTAGTGGAGTACCTATTTTTCATAGGGTTTTCAGAGGCCTGCTATTTCAGAAGTGGATTGCCAGTCCTTCTTCCTAGTCTGTCTTAATCTGGGAGCTCCACAAAAACCTATCCACCATGGGTCACACTAGTGGTGCAGTTTTCAGTAACACAGCAACCCACAAGTACACAACAGCAGCAACAGCAGGCTGTGTACAAAGTGTTGCTGCTGCTGTTGTTGTGTACCATCAAGTTGCTGACCCTCCCACAGGTCTTTAGAGGCAGTTAATTGCAAGGGAAGAGATTGCCAGTCCTAGCTCTTGAGGGTGCTCTGGTGGCCTCCTGGCAAAAAGCTGTGCTGCACTATTGAAAGGCACACAGTTCGAGGTCACCAGTCACTCGGGAGAGAAGGATGGGCCTCTGGAAATCCACCACAGAGTCAGGTATGAGTCAGTTCCGACTCTACAGTTCACAACAGCCTTGCTTCTGAGACATGAGAGAGAATCTTTTAAATAATTAATTTGGTCATGAATACCTCAATAGTATAAAATCTAAAAACAAGGACACAAAGTGTAAATCTGCAGTTAGTAAGACAACTAAAAATAGCTAACATTTGAACCTTTCAGCAACACTCTGTTATTACTCTGTAATAACACTCGTTTAAAGATCAAGATACTGTAGCACAAGGGGAGCTCTGGTGGCCTAGTGGCAAGGAACTG